GAGAGAGAGAGAGAGAGAGAGAGAGAGAGAGAGAGAGAGAGAGAGAGAGAGAGAAGGGTGGCGGTGGAGGGATATGAGGAAGAGAGAGGGAGCGACATGCACACAGTGTGTGTGGGCGGCGTGGTCCCGCTTTCATGCATTGCAAATCATGGTCCCGCTAACGTGCCCTCTTTGGCCGGCCTGGGCCGCAGCGTAGCGTTACCGTGCACGGGCACAGCGTGACCAGCGTGACGCCACACATGTAACTGAACACACGGTGCAGCAGCACCCGCATGCTCGCGTTACCGTGCACGGGCACAGCGTGAACAGCGTGACGCCACACAAGTAACTGAACACACGGTGCATCAGCGTGACCGTGCACGGGCACAGCGTGACCAGCGTGACGCCACACATGTAACTGAACACACGATGCAGCGGCAGCCGCATGCTCGCGTTACCTATGATGGGCGTCTGCAGGCGCACGGTCGATCACGGGAAACACCAATGACGCGACGCACCCTACATTGCGATGTGAGGTGTGACACTGTATCGTAACTTTCTCACTTGCCAACAGCAAAGTCGGTGGCTTTTGAATGGCTTGATAATGTAAACGTCCTACACATCAACGCACTGCTTGCGGCTTTTGTAAGTAGCGCGGCTCGCTGAGTACGTTGTATATCGTAATGTGCAAGTGTGTGCCCCCACTTCACACAGCCCCCCCTCTTCTCTCTCTCTCTCTCTCCTCCCCCCCCCCCCCTCTCTCTCTCCCTCCCCCTCCCACCTCTCTCTCTCTCTCTCTGCGCTCCTCCAGGTCCTCGCCGGCCCGACACCGGCCGCCGTGTCCGACTAAAGCCGTATTATCCATTTCAGTTTGTCGAGTCGGATAGAGTAATGGTCGCTGCCGGGGACGAGCAGCGCCCTCCACGACTGCTCGACTTCCTGCGGGCGCGGCGCGCAGCGGTCCAAACCTGGAACTGTAACCAGGCGCTCTTACTCGAGCAATAAAAATCCATGCAGAGGATGAATTACGCGGGGCTGCGCAGGGCGGCGCCCCCCGGACCCTCTTCCTGTCCCTGGTTAGGTTCTTATTTTAAAATTTATGTTCGCCAGCGCGAACCCCGGCCCGCCTCAAGGAGAACAGTGTTGTAATAAAACTAGAGCGGGTCGGGGGCGAGCGGTAGCGCGTCTCAGGCCGGCACAACCCGAGAGAAAAAGAAGAGAGGGAAAAGACAATGGTCAATTTGACGTCAGTGTAGCGAATCCACAACGCGCCAAGAGCTACACCAGCAGTTCGCGTTCCTTCAAACACTCCCGCCTCGACTCTCCTCCGCAGACGCGCGAGTGGTGGTGCAGCTCGGGATGCACGCCGGCCGCGCGGGGAGACGCCAGGAGCAGGCGCAGGCCGACACAGGCCGCCTTCCGCTCGGCAAGTTCTTGTCGGCGACGGCTGTGCGCGCCGACAGCCGACGAGATGGCAAAGTTTGGTTTGACTCTCTTTGCTTTTCGGGCGGAGCTGCCGCTGCTGCTGGCTCAATTCGAGCAAAAACCTGCCACAACAACTTGCTGTTGAGTACAGCCATATTTTGACGAGCTCAAGAAATGGGGCATTATTATACAGCGCAAAGTCCAAATAGGGTGGTCGGTTGGACTACAACCATCAAATGGTAGAAAATGCTGAAAAGCTGACTGTCGAAACGGGGAAGTACAAGAACACAAAATTACTAGTTCACATAAAACACTAATAGCAGCGAGCTCTAAAAACTAATTGAATAAAATGGTGGAGTTTATTTGTCTATGTTTGTTAACAGCGAGGGGGGTTTAACTCCAAGAAAACTTGTAAAGAGTAGGCTACTCCGTATTTTCACAGTAGTACGCCGGTATAAAATGAAAAAGAAAAAAAACAAAAAAAAACAGTTTAAAGCATATTTTGATACTTTTCGGTATTACAATGCGCATAATACCCCGTAATACCCAGGTTAGGTGTACAGGGTATCACGCAAGGTAAAAACCCCTCGGTTAACAGTTAATCCAGCGCAAAGGCGATAATCAGGTGGCAATGTCAGCAGCAACTGTGTGTTTCGTTCAAGAGAACGACCACTTATTGAATAGGAAAAAGGGGCCATTGAGCAACCCCTGTAAAAATCGTTCACCGTAAACACAGCCGCCACGCCAAAAAAACAGGAACAGTCGGAAACAGTATACCTATACTTTAGACAACGAAGATGTCTGAGAATACTCTGATAAATATTAATTTTATTTTATAAGAAGACCCACTAAAACAAGAACGAATTTGTGCCAGGCCTAAATATTAGGCGTTGGCTAAGCGGTCCAAACATCTAAAGGGCCCCTGGCGCTACCAAAGCACTTTGGTAGCAATGTTGATAATCGGCCCCCATGCTGCTCATTGTGGGCCTGGAGGACCTGGCGGCGGTGCTGGTGGAGGTGGTCCCTGTGGTGACCTAGGTGGGCGAGGTGCTGGTGGTGCTGGTGGAGGTGGTCCCTGAGGCGACCTTGGTGGGCGAGGAGCTGGTGGTGCTGGTGGGGGAGGTCCCTGGGGAGACCTTGGAGGGCGAGGTGCCGGTGGTGCCGGTGTCGCAGTGGAATAGTACCCCGTACCCCCCCGGTACAAATCACCTACGGTATTGGTACCCCCCGGTATAAACCCCCTAGGACATTTATACCCCCCCACAACACCCCTAGGGTACAAATGCCCCAGGGGATTTATACCGGGGGGTATAAATCAGTCAGTGGTTTTAT